AAGCTCCGGTTTGATATGGTTACACACGTAGAACTCTGCAAACGGTATGCTAAAACTGAGACCTCGAGCAAGAGCATAATGCACTCAGGTTAGATCCAAGAGGTGAAAACCACTGAGTAGAACTCATTGAATTGGTTCGAACAAGCGCACGCACAATATTGTGTGGGGAGAATTAGAGTAGCCACAGAGGGAAAAGAGAGCGCCGAGTTAATGTGCGACCGTACAGCGTGACAGCAATGACACCAATGTGTTATGATAGCAGTTCAAGGGGCTTAGAGCCGTCAGAGAGATTTTAACCGCACTGGACATGGTAGTGATTAGAGGACAAGTCACATGCAACTGGTAATGCAGCAGACAATATGTGATAAGTTGAAAGGGTATGTCAGACACGGCCTCGCGTACTCGAGGGCCACTTGCATCTGTCTGCAGATTCTGACTCGGATTCCAGTTCCAAAGGATGCAAGTAATTTTAATGTCATTATGCAGCGTTTGGTTACGTGAGCCTATAAATGCTGTCGGTACGTGCTGTTCTGTCATGTCTTCATTCAATCTTATTGTGTGTGATGGTGTTTGATTCGGTACATTCTGTATGTTTCTGTTACCGTCATCCGTCGCGAAAGTCAAATGTGCAATATACCAAGAATTTTCGACACCATCATAATGCGTCTACCTATAGGCACTTCAAACCCCCGCTCAGGATACGATCTGTCACAAACGAGTGGTGCTAAGACAGGGTAGGGGCATAGGTGAGCAGTGAATTTCTGTGTGGATTTTGCATGTGCTTTTTTCAACTTGTGCATAAGCTTTGTATAAGCCAACCCCTCACTACGTACATGGAAAACTGTCCAAAATTCCTCAGCTTATACACTGTAATATACGGTAGCTCTAACACGTAACGGTGTGCACCATCACTGGTTTGGCGCGACGATAGTCTGTATAGTAGATGTGGTCGAAACTGATGATTGCATGATCTCTACAACCCAAAAGACATTCTACAATCAATACAGTAATCATATATTCCTCGTTGGTGAACACAAGATCTAGCAAGCTGGTCTGTTACCTGTTATAAAATGAGTGGAGGCATTATGGTGATTGTAACGTGGAACACTGGGGATGACCCCTTACTGAACTTTTTTAAATAGTTCAGTGATAGCAGCAGAGTTTCTAAACAGTGTACGTTAAAATCGCCCGTGATAAGGATGTTTTTATGCTTTCACTTTAGATTGCATCTCAAAGATGGCGTTCCATTTCCGGTGTAGGTTTTGGGGGGCGGTACACCAAAGCTATAAGGCATTTGTCGAGGCTATGTAATTGCAGACAGCGGACTAGAAGTCGGAATCCTCAGCGACCTCGCACTGTAGGTCGTTTCGGTAATACAAAATTACCCCTCCTCCTTTCGTAAGCCTGTCGCTTCGTATGAGTGACATGCCCGGCAGCGAGACTTCAGCGTCCGTCCTTCCAGTTTGCAGTTATATCTCTGTGGCACTAGTAATATAGCGTTGCTAAGAAACTTGGCGATCTTTACTCGCTCTTAGCCTATTGCATAAGCCTTGAGCATTGTTATTCGAGCAGGTTCGTTACCCAGTCTTTAGAGGAGTCCACAGGGGGCTAAATGGGTCAGCTCGGGAGGATGCCGACCGATATGATGTCGGCCGTTATACCTTTTTGACTGGAAGATAATATGTCGTCTGCAGCTTGATTTGGCCAGAGTACGCCCTATTCATCTTCCTTAAATACTACAGCATCATGTAGACGAGCAGTAAAGGAAAAATCCTGTGTAATCGATGTTAGTTCGCTCCTTCAGATAGTCATGTCAAGTCGTTGCAATACTTCAGCAGCTTTCAAACGAAGATAAGATGGACCGATACTACGATGTCTCCGCCAAGTTCTAACACTTCCGTCGCTGTCTGCTCTGACTGAACCAGGAGTTTTAGTATAATTGTGCCGCATCCACTATAATTTGTGTGTGAGATAGCCTTTTGAGCGATACCGCCACAACCTTGTCCAAGGAAGTGTTCCATGAATGAACCACCACTTTTCTAAATAGCTTCTTCCGACCTCATGACTATCGTGGGAACAATGTTCTAGCATGCCAGAAATAAAGATTGTGCCTAGATAATCCAACTGGCTGTGTTCTACCGGGAAGTTTCTTTTCATTGTGGCGGATTCCAAGGGCCCTCAGGATAAATGCCTACCATACAGGACTCGTGTTATAATGCACTTGCAGAGAGTAAAACGTTTTCTACATAAGTGGGCGATCCCAGTAGTACTCTAATAATGCTGCGATTGCCATGGTGTGCAGCTTTTTGGTGACGAGTAACTTGCACTAGGTTTGTGGGTTTACCTTTTTCTTTCAGCAAAATGTACATTGAGTTCCATCAGTTTGGTCGTCAGACAACTTATCCCGCAACATGATGGCGGGCGATTCGGGAACATTTGTGCACACGACAGACAGGTCGTTATTGTTGGATCTTTCTTCTGTTGGTCTGCAAGGTCGGTGATCTATGGTTCTGCATATATTCTAAGTGAGATCGGGCTACATTTTGTCACTAATTATGTTAATGGTATTTGTAACACAGGAGAACCTAAATGTAGCAAGCCGAGTGACTACAACGATCTCTGCATATGTGGCTAAAGTTCGATGAGATTGGAACTCGACCATGGACCCTTGAGTTGCAGATAGAGAAGACTTGTGTTCGTCTGTCCCAATTTGTTAATGATACAAGTTCTTAAGACTGGCGGATGTTGATCGTTTAAACGTCTCGGCTGGTGCCTGATGTTCGTGGTCCTGAGTGCCGTTTGACCATCATACACTCGGTCTGTTTTCATCCGGCATTCTTCCGAAATTGAACGGAAGAACTACAAGACGGACATTGTGAATCGCGGTTTTGCAAAACAAATTTTTCAGCATTGCTTTTCTTAGAGGGCACTGTGTTGTCCTAGTGATATAATCTTAGCGTTCATTCGCTGTCCAATTTCTTTTGTTAACCGCTCGTACTTTTGTGCTAAAAGAAGTATACATTTGATTAATGGAATGACCGAACACGCAGTACAAAACCAGAGATCGTCTTGGTAGCTGTTTCCATCTCTAGCTTGTTGTTGGGAAAAGTTTGCATAGTTTGCGTAGTATCAAGGATGGCAAACATGGCAAACCGTATTTGCCTCCTAGATTAAATTCCGCCAACCCACATTTACCCGTCCTCTGGAGCCCTTACGCATTCGCATCTATTTGCTTTCTGCTACTCAACAAAGTGTTGCCACCTTACTCGGTGAGCTGGTTGAGATTGTATACTTTTCCAACTGTGGTCGGTTGCGCACTCTAGTTAAACGAGCTATGTGTTTACAATGGTCAAATTAGGTAAACCAGCGGACGATATGGCTGGTCATTGTGGTGGTTTACACCGGCGCACTGGTTGGCTAGGTCCCAAACAGTGACCATTGGCTTCGGGTTATCCATCGGCTCCAAATGAATGTTGAGCGAGAAAAAATTTCAGGGAATGCGAAGTAATTGCCGTAAATAGTATTAGAAAAGAACGATTTGTGGTTGACTCGATCGCCTCATGAAACATCTTTCGACCGAGAGTTAAAAGTCTACAAATTGCTTAAAACGGTATGTTTGCAGTGTTGAGTTTCATCAACAAAAGCCGTCAAAAACACTGAAGTGAATCAGACGTAGAGACGACATGGTCAATTCGGAAGCTAACTAGACACCTCGCGGAGTTGTTAAATCCGAGTCCACTGAAAGTAAACTCAATGGTTTGCAGCAAATTGATGAGTAATGGTCCACTCATATGCAAGACGGGTCGATTCAGATCCAATGTAGCTGGATTCGGCAGCAGAGGAATGAAATCGCTTGGATCCCGTGAAAGCAGCAATTCTTCAAACATTCTCAGTGGACTCAAGTGTTTAACGTCGCAAAGTCACACAAAACAAGAACATAAGTGAATCTTATATTACAAGTTAAAGAGTTCTCAGCTGGTAGCCTCGAAATAGAGTATAGTGAAGTCGGTAATTTTTGTATAGTACCAGAGAGAAGTTCCAGACAATTTCGAATGTTATATCACTAACTTGTCTTCCTTGTATTCGCCAAAGTCCCTCGTCATTTCTTTGTAAGCTAGCAGTCGAAAAACGAACATGTGCATTCCCATCAATACTTTCAACTGCGATGTTGGGATGCCCACAGCAACGCCCGTTTAGTAGCGCGTAAATGCGTAAGCATTCGAGCGATATCTTTCCGGCAAGTTATTAAACTAACATTTGTAAATGCCTGAGTAAAATTCCAATTTTGACCATCCAGCGAAGGTAGAACACGCGGGAGGTAACACTCTGTTTATAACATCCTGTAACTTGTTACTTGCAAGGTTGTGCGCAGTAATAGTTTACTATCCACATGGGCTACCATATTTCATCACAAGCTATAAATTTTCTGCATTTGCTTAAAAATAAGTTCTCAAGATTTAGCAAGATTTCGGTAATTTGCATGTGATTTGCAAAAGAACGCCTCACTCGATCAGCGGTCACTTCGATTCCGCACGAAATGTAATGCTCACCACCTAGCAGTAAGTAACACGTGCGAGAACATATTTCATTTTGTTTGATTAATCAACTATCACAACCGAATAAACAAGTAAATTGGATTGCGACGGTTACACCCCATAACTACGGTAACCCCACGTGCTAGTGTTTCCAGTGACAATTACTATTTTTGTGGTTGAATCAAGCTCTGCACACATGAAATAATTCTACACCTCTTCACAAGCGTACTAGCAACTACTGTTCGTCAAGTGTGGGTCCAGTGTTTTCACATTGCTTTAAGCGTGATGCCGATCGATAAAAACTGACGTGTGTAAACTAAGCCACGCTAAATCAACATCGTCACGGATTGGTTGCTCCAAGTAGTGAGCAATGATCGATGACTGCCTACGCAGCACACAAAACTCACATAAACTCACACACACACACACACACACACACACACACACACACACACACATACAAGTATCTGCGGCGCCCATATGTGGCAACCTCACATACACCGTTTTAGCAGACCACCAACGGTTTCCTCCTAACCGGAATCACCTAGACCAAACTTTCGCTCCAAAAACAAACAAAGCTGAAGCGCACATTTTCAGTCACAAATGCTGTTCCCTCAGGTGTTGCCACTGTGGACGGTATCCGATCTAATTCATGCAGTCATTTCGGTGCTCTCATTCGGTTTGCTGCTTGTCCCTTCAGGTAAGTCCGACCGCACACATTTTTTGTAAGCGATTAGATCAAATTGTACAGGGTGAGAATTTAGCTGTGAAAAACATGTAGATAAATGAACACCGACAGTTACATAGCCAGGGTCCAAAGGCATGCTCACACTATAAAATAAATCTGAAATGAATTTAGTCCACTCACAGTTGAGCACTGTAGGGACAGTTACTTTGGTTACAGTTGCCATCTACCTTTTCCTTAAAGTTTAAAGGGATCAAGTTTTTATTTTCGTCTATGTAGCAGAATTGGTTCTCGAGTGTGACAACCTTGTTCCTCTAGTTTGCTTGACGAATTGAAGGCAACTATATAATTTGGTGCGATCATACTATGCTAAAAGACTTAGACAGAAACAAGGGATGCAGCGATAAGTCCTAAACTTACAGTAAAAATGTAATGGAAATTTAGTTAACACGCGGCTATGTTGCATCAGCTAGTAACTTTAAAATGCAATATCCAAGTCACATTGCTTTCTGAATAAAAAATTATAAATTCACGGGCAAGTTTATCTTACTTTTCCATGGATCTTTGCTTTTAAGAGCAATACACCTCTACTCGAAGTGCTATAGCCCAGTCGTCTGTTCATGGAAATCAGTGCTCGACCACCTTGAAGTGAAATGCGAAAGGTCATAGATTCCAGCCTTACAGGCGACCGAGGGTTGAACATTGTTGACGATTACCTAAAGTAGCAAATGAGGATATGATGCTCATCTTGATATGCATTAGATGAGTGACTGGCGAATCTTCATCGAATATTATGTTTTTATCAGATGAATTGCTAACTTAAGTCCGATGATCAGCGCACAGTAGCAACATTGGCACAATGGTTATCCCAAATTATCGATACTATTCAGCGTGAACTAGCCGAATACAGTCTCAGGCATACGTACGACTTTATAACCAAATCTACGAGATCTGGACGCAGAAGGGAAACACGTGGTCTCATTTGATATGTGCCCATGGGTCACTAAGTAACAAAATAGGCGCACATACCAACAACGTTAGGTTTCCAGCTCACCATCTGAAATCCCTACTACATTTGTGCACGAAGGACGTCCAGTTTAGATTCCATGGCATCCTGCATCGATAGGTTGATGACGTAGCCATGGTCAGGCCACTTGGGCATGTCTTGGCTGATATTTTCAATGGCCACCTGGAGAAAACCTAGCCACTTCCTTATCTAAAATTATGCATACAGATAGTCGCTACCTAGGTGACACTTTCGCCGTTGTAGACATAGCGAAACAAGCGGAACACCTACTTTGTGCTCTAAACAACTGCCATCCTGCGATCGGATTCACTGCTGAAAACGAATCTTCCGGTGCCATCCATTTTTTGAATGTCAACCTAGTAAGAAACCCGAATGTTACCCTCATTCGATCTGTGTACCGTAAACAAACATGGACAGGACAGTAACTTAACTTTAACAGTTGTCCTGTGAATCAAAACAAGCTCTAGCTCGTACCACTTTTGAGAGAGCTCATTAGATCTAATCCGATGTAAAAACTGAATGTGAGTTGCAACGAGTCTCCTCGGCATCACGGGAAGTCGGATATCAGGAGAAGTTCACAGCGCGGCACTCAAATGTGACTGGGAAAACCAAGAAGTTACCGGTGACCGACGTACCTAGGAAAAAGTGTTTGCAACGCTACCATTCAAAGGAGATTCCAGTATCATCTCCGTCAATCCATAAAATAGTGTTATTGCACTGCTAAGCTTGTGGTTTTGCACCGTTAGAAAGTTGTCTAAATTCAGCCTTGACAAATCTGACTCACGAGTGACCACCTGTTTCGTTATATGTGCGGTAGTGAGTACGTCGGCCGTACGGAGAAGAGACTGTCCACAAGAATTTTTCAGAAAACATGCTGCGTAACATATTCGCGAACGGTCCGATGCTGCCAGTCTGTTAAATCGCTGGACACCTACTTGACTACCCGCTCTGTGAAAACGCACGCGAATCATTTAGGATAATCAACCGATGGAGTGCCGCTAGCCTGCTTCCGTTCGCTGAGGCTTCGGCAGTTTGGCGGCTGAAACCAACCTTGTGTAAACAGACCGAGTTCGTCGCCAGTCTCTTCCTGCCTTGGTGTGACTGGTGGCCACCTTCCTCTAAGCGGAATTCCGGTCAGCATCAAAGGAACTTTGATTGTTGTCTATTATCCAATGACACTGCAATTTGCATGTCTCTGTATGCAACCTAGCCATTCCACTAGTTGCATATAAACGGCTGATGAGGGTACGCGAAATAGTGGAATTCAAATTATCTTGACGAAATGTTGTTCTTACCTGCCATTTTGTTATTTTTGAAGGGATAGTCTTGCATGAAATTGATAATTGCACTTGGTGAGACGTGAAGTGGAAAAAATTTTCTTCATTTGATGTGGCCACAAATATAATACTTGGTATGACAGCTAAACTTATCGAACTATGTTTTCACTAGTGAGGGAAAGACGTGGTTGTGACGCCTACAGTCCAGAATTCTCATGAGGCCACGGTTAAAGCCTGGTAAAACCATTGGGGACATACAAGCAAATGAGTTGTAACTGTGTATGTTCATGTTTAATTGACCTGGATTGTGAGGATGGGAGTTGAAGCAAACCTTCTGGTTTTGGGTTTGCATTTAGCATAAAGCCAAGGGTAATTCGTAACTGTAATCAGCTTGAGCAAGGTAAATATTTCTAGTGTGCGCCTTTAGCAGTCAGTATAATGCTGATGAAGTCCAATACTAGCAAAAATTACCCACTTTTCCCACTTTTCGGTTGGTCGTACGCTCAATAACTCTCGGTTGTCCAATTGGCTCCAATGAAGTCACCCAACTATTATGTCCATTAATGGCAAAAATATTTGATTTTCCGTCTTCATATTTGTTAAAATAATGTGTCGAGACCACTTGGCTTATTTGTATCAGCAATCACTCAGTGGAAAGCGAAAGTTTTTTTGCGACTATACCAACAATCATGTTTGGTTAGGCGAGAACACATACCATCAAAATAGAAAGAATATTGGTGGTTAGCCTAGGGGCTGAAGGTAAATTACAAGCTTTACTATTTTATTGTCGAACTAAAATACTAACTATTAATTAGGCGTAGAATATGTGTGGCACAAAAAGCGACATTTAATGTCAACTCAAAGAGTAAACCAGTTTCTCAAGTATGTCGCAAGAAAGTTCACGAGGAGATTTTAGCTGTTAATGCTTCCTCAGCAAAACTGGGTCACCTTGATATTTTGAGATGCATACTTAAATAAAGCACAGCATTTAGCTTAAAATCATACGCAAGAAAATTCGAGCATGGTTTGGGCTTCAGAATTTTGCATTCACAGCCGATTAGCCATTCAGAATATTTATGGCCCCATTCAATGTAACCCAACACAAAAAGCATGCGCCAAGGCACCGATAAGAAATTGTACTCTATATTAATTAAGTATAAAGGGTATAGTGCAAGATTTAAGGAATGAAAACTGGCTACGACAACAGCACAATGAAGTTACGACGTAGGGCATAACGTCTGCCCCATCAACCTTATATCCTCAATGATAGGCTTGTCAATATTTGATCGGCTCTGTAGCGCCTTCATAACAAAGAGAGTCGAAAGAAACCTGACACAGCATGGGAAAATATTATACAAGTTCAAACAGACCTCACGCCCCACAATCTCATAGTTATGTAATAAGACGGAGCAGAAATGTAGGAAGCACTGGATTGCAGCAAATAGTGGCTTGTCTTCGACTAGCTGAGCAGACGTCAGGCCATCAATGTCGGAAGCTAATGAAAGTCCAGAATTACTTGAATGTTTAGAAATAAGTTGTTCTGTGTTGGTCGAGGCTACCGAATGGTTCGACTGTCTCACGATAACGGTGTTGTTATTCGTTTGCCATGTCACATCGCGTCGCAGTGATAAACAGATTTAAGGTGGAGCAAACGTGAAAAGGTAACCTAACAGTGTTGCAGGTACAGACATACCACCTATGCATTATAACCTACTGCCTTGGATCAGGAGAATTCCTACACATGTACCCTGCAACTAACAAAAGCTAGAAGTTTCCGAGTTATTTCAGGGTGCCTTCTATTTTGTGTCGATCCCGACATACCGATCGACCGTCTTGTGTTTTGTCGAATTTGGCGTTTTCCCCTCAAAGGTGAGCAATATCCATTAGGGACTGCTTTCGCATTGGGCGGCCCATCAGTGTGAGAATGACATAGTTTGATAAAATTTGGCAATTCAGTTTTGCCCAAAATTTCATTGTGGGAACCGGAGATTGTTGCAAAATATCCCGCGGCAGATTTCGGCTCGACAACCTAAATAGTAGCAGAGTAAGTGTCCGATGCGTTCGCAACATTAAGAAAACAACAGTATATTCGTTTTTATTGCCTGCACGTGCAAACGCTTGACAGCTCCAGCCGGACTGTTATAAAGGAAAGCACAAAACGAAAAAAGTTCAATAAACTAACGGGCGTGGTATTGAGCACAAATTTTTCCATTTGATACTACGCTTCAATAAACGATTCGTTTGTTTCGCCTCGTGTTGTCACTCAATGGCGCTCGTAAGTTGTAAGTTGTATTATGTAAGTTGTATTAAAGTAAGCAAGTAAGTTGCATTAAAGTAACGGCAATTCATTTTTCGCATGACAAGAAGTAAAAGTTAGCATTAGGGGATTTTGGAAATCAAGACCAGAAATCAGTCACGGGTTAGGAATTCTTCTTGGTAAACTCTCGTCAGATCTAAACGTTTCATAACGTTGATTGCATGGCGTAAGCCCCGTGTTTTGTATTGAATGTAATGTAATAGATAAGGCGGCCTTAGAGGTGCATTTTGAAAGCCCCCTGGTACAGACTACAGACCTGTTTCCAATGTCTTCTAGTGAAATTGAGAACCTACAGTCTAGTCTAGTGAATATTTGTCATAAATATGTTAAAGCTAAACGATCTATTAATGTTATTACTCCAAGGGAAAATCTCAGTCAATTAAAGTGTTACGGG